CTCTGACCCTCTTCCCTCTCGTGCTCTCTCTCAAATAAATAAATAAAACCTTAAAAAAAAAAAAAAAAAGAACTTCAGAGCGTAGAGAAAGGAGCAAGGGAAGAGCTGTTGACCTAAACTTTGACAAAATAAGTCCAGGAACACCAATGCCATTTAACATATATTTATTGAAATCTACTTGATGCAAGGCACTGTGCTAGATCTGGTAGGGGAATCAGACATGAAGGGTCACCCCTGTCTTATAAGAGCTCACAATCTAACGGGTGGGGGGCAGGTGGGGAGGGCGAAGCTCTAGTGCAAGGCTGATTATAGTAAGTGCCATAAAACAAACAAGGTAAGGAGCTCAGGGAGCGCGCCAACAACTGAAATATGGACCGGGGCAGACACGGCTACTGTTCTTAGATACGCAAAGAACATTGAAGGCCAAGTTAAAAGAGACCATTTCTAGTTTTGAAGGTAAACACCTAAACTGATACTAGGAGAAGTACAGAATGTAAGTATACTAGTAACAGAGAAATTCTCAATTCCCCAATCTGATGGATTCTCTGGAAGTAGCGAGACGCTTCCAAAATAAACAACAAGGTGGTGGGCGTTGACTTAAACTCGTTTCATGGGACAAACAGGGGAACCGTACAGCAACGCTACCTGGACAGAAAGGCATTGGTCCAACTCACTGAGACTAAAAGGCATAGATTTTTACCCATCTGAGTGAGCAGAGTACAGTACCACATTCAAACAGGTGTTTCCGATAGGCAGGTGGGGCTGGGGCCGGGACCCCGAGCCGGGGAGAACATGAGGAAAACCAGCCACGTGATTCTCCTCAGGAAGCAGCCAAGTGGTAAAAGGCAACTGGCTCTTGACAGATTGCAGAAAGCAGAGACCCACTCAAGCTGGCTCAGGTCAAGGGAGACTACGGTGGGGACACAAATGAACTGATGGGGGCAGCTGCCCGAAATCCAAGAACGTAACGAGGCCAGGACTCCGCTGCGGTGCTGGAGCTGAGGCAGCTCTGGAGTGCTTAGCAGGAGCCCACACATCTTCCAGCTGGTGCCACCCATGGGGTCAACTCCTCTATATACCGTGTGGCTCCCTCTTTCTTCCAATACCAACTAGAAACGCCTCTCTCATTTTCCTTGCTCGCACTTCACAGACAAGAGAACCTGAAAGGCCCAGCCTGTCGTGTCCAGTCGGCTCTGATGACTGGTTGCTGCCCTCGAGTCAAGGGTTCAGTTCTGGTTGAATTAATGGGGCCTGGGGGGGCGGTGAGGGTCCCGGGGCACATGACAAGGCTGAAACCCCAGGCCCGTGGAATGCCAACACTGTGATTTGAGCGGGGGTGGGGGTGGGGCTCACTCTGGAAGTGCAGAAGTGGGTAAGACATAACTAATCAACACAGTTAATCGTAATAAGCAGCAAAAATGGTAAACAACCACTTTCATTTAAAAGTTTCAGCAAGTATTCAAAACTTTAATAAAAGCAATGGAAGGTTTCTTTCAGAATCTAAGAAAAGGATCTATTTTTAATGAGAGTCGGCGTTCTATGTAACCCAACTGCTCTACATTTCCCTTGCGAAAGGAATGTGTGGGATTAGAAAGAAAAAACGAAATGAGGTAGATACACAAATGCATAGACGAGCACACACAACAGGAAGCTTGAGCACATAACACTGAACTTGCGCAACTACAGGACACACGTTAAAGCCACAGGCTGCTTGCGCCGGACAGAGCACAGACGTCACCCGCAAACACAGCGACAGAAAAGATGCGGTCTTTAGTGTTAACTCTAGAAGAGGGTTTGTGCCAGAGAGAACGCGAGAACTGAGAATGACAAAAGTCAAGGAGGGCATGACGTGACGCCAGGACGCCGCGTCCCAGCGGGCGAGCTATGGAGCGGCGGCGACAACGCTGAGTTCTGAGCTAATACTGTATCTGGATCCTTCAGAGAAGCTGACAAACGGCTAGTGAGCTGCCAGACTCGCCCCCCATCAATGTCAAGTTCCTTACCCAATGGCCGTTGTGTCGAACGTGTCCTGACAGCTTGAAAAGAGACCAGTGATGCAGAAGGAAGCAGTGACTGCGGACACAGTTGGACCGGAAGCCACAGAGCAAAAGCAGCGGCTATGTAACAAGTGCTGTTGGCTTCTCTCCAGCCCGAGGGCCGGGATGGAGACATCAGAGAGAGCCACTCCCGTGGCCTGGCGGCCATTCCCGAGGACCTTCTGGCTAAGGTCACAGCGGTCACCAGGGGACCCTGCTTCCCAGGATGGGGGCCTGAGAAGCTCCTCCGGGTGTGCCTGCTGAGAAGCTCCGTCTCAGCCTCGGCGGGGCGGGGTGGGGGGGGCATCAGGAAGGGTATACCCCCTCTAGGGGCCCGCTAGTGGCCCCTGGGGCACAGCTGCTGGGAGGTCATCACACCCCAGCCCCGGGGCGGCTGGCTTCTACCTGCGGGTTCGGCAGGTCACCGGAGGCCAGCTTTCTGGTCAGCCCTTGCTGCCGTTCCTCTTGGGGGAGGCTGTCGGGAGTAACAGCCTAGCCCCAGGATGACCAGCTTCGGTTTCTACGCCACGTGGGCCATCAGAAGGGCACGGTTGCCCTCCAAACCCTTGTTCTCTTGCCCCTCCTGGGCATGGCCGCTGACGGTCCCAGCCTGGGCCTGTTGTGGCCAGCGTCTACGGCCGTGACGCACAGGGCATCAGAGGGGCACGGTTCCGCTCCGAGCCTCTGCTCTGTTGCTCCTCTTAGGTGTAGCTGCAGGAGGTGACGTCAGAACACGTGGGTGGGTTTCCCCCTAGTTGCCCAAAGCAAAAGCCACCAGACTGACCTCTTTCTGTTTCCAGAGTCACTCACTAGGAGGAGGATGCAATCCACACGACAGCATCGTTCGAGGAGATGTGTCTCGGGTGGGTCTGCTGCTCAGGCCCTGAATCCGTGCCGGGCACGGCCAAAGCTCCCGGGAGCTTGAAGGAGAGCCAGCTGCAGCCAAGACCACGTTTGGACCACCCCATTGATCTAGTTTAGGCCCCGGCCTGCTGCTGACAGGTAGGGCTATACTGAGGAACAGTCGGAATGTTCTGGCCAATCCGAGATGGACGTTTCTCTTGCGTGTCTGCGTGGCCAGGTTGGAGAGTCAAGTACTGCCCACAGACATGCACAGAGTCTGCGTCTTGGATGAGGAGAGAGCCTGCTTCTCTGGCCCCTTCCCATCCAGCCTGCCCACCTGGTGCATCCACCTTCTGGTGGGGCAGGGCTTTCAACTTTTCATTTGTAATTAAAATTCTAGAAGAAAACATCATCGTATCTCAGTACGGAAGCAATGGAAGTTACGGCTTAACGGACAACGGTGAGTGCTCAGATATGTAAAACTTAAAACTCGCACGACAAAATGTAATAAAACTGCTACAAGGAGCAAAGCAATAAAACTGGAAAAGAGATCATCACAATCGATATAGAAAGAACCGCTGTATGAAGTCAATATATCCAAAGGTAACTTGGTAACTGGTCAAAGGAGATGAACGTTACGATTTGCGTGCAAGAAAACAGGAACACGATTTAAGTCACTGCACGGGAGAAAGAAGGGGAGACTCGGAGTCAGGAGGCCTGGGTCCATCCCCAGTTCCGGTGCTAAGGAGCCACAGAACGACAGCGATAATTATGGTGATGACAGCGGACGACCTTCACTGAGTGTGCACCTTCGGGCCAGGCGTGGCGTCGCAGTTCTCACGGTAACCTTAGGAGGTAGTCCCGTGATCACCCCTGTTTTAGAGCCCGAAACAGAGGGCTGCCTCCATGGGAGGAGAGGCTATCGCTCCCGAAAAAAGAGGCATCACCTTATACTTGAGTCCTTGAGACGTCCCTGTTATGGGGATGCTCTTTCAACTACTTGAGCTTGAACAGAACAGTGCTGCTTGAGGACAAGACCTATCTATGAACCCGAAACAGACCCCAGTTGATGCTTAGTTTTGGACGCACATGGAAGTCACCAGAACAAACTGGTTGAAGAAAAATGGACGCAAAAGCAATGTAGCCCAGATTCAGTACTTATTCCTGGGAGTATGACCTCACAATGCCAAGTTATAGATGCTTCAAAAAAGTCTTTTAACGGCCATTTGAAAAAGGCAAACACGGTAAGTGGTTATGTTGTGGAGCTACGGGACAAATCTAAAAACAACAACTGTCCTAACAGTATGTGAACACGTACTTATGGCTTGGGAGGAAGTTTCTAGTGAGAGCCTTGTGCAGGGATTGTCACAGTGCTACATGGCACACAGCTTAGATGGATGGAAGCCATCGGATGTGCTTTGAAACTGTCGGGGGACTCAAAAGGGGCTACCAGGTTGGTGGAGATGGTGAGGTCAGAGATGCATGTGAGGATTCGAAATAAAACCATCTTGTGGAGTGGCGTGAGGGGAAAAAAAGGAGTATTTTCTAAAGTAATATATTATTCTATGTAATATGTGATTTACAGTATGTACGTATAACTGAATTAATAAATTAAATATTATAAGACATTTGAGTGTTCTATGTACATCCCTAACAATTTATAAATTCAAGTAGGCCAAACACCTCTGGGGCTCTATCTTGTCTTCAGGTAAAGCTGGGGTCACGTTACATCGAGGCCATCACTGACTAGCTCTGTGCCCCGCTCCCGGAGGGAGCAGCCGGGAGAAGGGGACCTACGCGCCCCCCCCCCCCCCCCCCATGCAGGTTTCTCTTCTCTCATTCTCGGTTTCAAGGCCCGCGGACTGGAATACCTTGAAGGTCCTTTATGCCCGTCACCCTAGTCCAAATAAATTAGGACGTCGGAGAAGCTACTCTCGATGGGCAAAATGGGAAGCATGTACACTTATAAATTGCTGGTGACAGTATAAACTGGATTCGACCTTTTCTGACGCGAAAACATGTCAGCGCTACAAAACTGTTCATCTCCTTTGACTCTGCCCTGCCCCTCTGGGGACTCGCCCCCCCCGCCCCGCCCCCTGCCCCGCCCCCCGCCCCGCCCCCTGCCCCCGCGGGAAGCCGCCGCCTCCGGGGGCCTCCTCTAGTCGTGGTGGGTCGGTTGATGCTTCTGCAGCGCCGCGCGCCTCTTGAACACGCGGCCACACGCGCTGCACTCGCAGCGCCTCGCCCCGCTGTGGGTCCTCCGGTGGCGACTCAGGCCCGAGCTCCGCCGGAAGGCCTTCCCGCACTTGTCACACTCGTAGGGCTTCAGGCCGCTGTGGATGCGCCGGTGCTTGATGAGGTCGGACGGCCCGCGGAAGGCCTTGCCGCAGTCGCCACAGCCGTAGGGCCGCTCGCCCGTGTGGATGCGCTGGTGCTCCAGGAGGCTGGAGCTCTGCCGGAACGCCTTCCCGCACTGGCCGCACTCGTACGGCTTCTCGCCCGTGTGGATGCGGCGGTGCTTGGTGAGCTCCGAGCTCCTCCGGAAGAGCTTGCCGCAGTGGGGGCACCCGTACGGCTTGGCCCCGCTGTGGATGCGCTGGTGCTCGGCCAGGCCGTTGACGCCGCGGAAGGACTTGCCGCAGTCGTCACAGTCGAAGGGCAGGTGGCCGGTGTGCGCCCGCTGGTGCTTGAGAAGCTCCTGGCGATCCAGGAGCTCCCGGCCACACGCCCTGCAGGCGAACGGCTTTTCGGACGTGTGCAGCCTCTGATGGCGAGAGAGGTGGGTGCTCACCTTGAAGGACCGCCCGCATTGCTCACAGTCAAAGGGCTTCTCTCTGCTGTGGACACGCAGATGCTGACTGAGGCCCGCGTTCTTCTTAAACCTCTTCCCACATTCCTCACACTCGAAGGGCTTCGCCTCCCTCTCCATTTGCTCCCTCTTCTCCAGAGCATCTTCCGGGGCTCGGCTGGGCCCGGGCTGGGGCTCTGCGGCCACATGGCCCCTCCGGTGCTCATTGAACTCCGAGACCCCCCTGAAGACCTGCCCGCAGTCCCCACACTCCCAGCCCTTCTCCTCACTGTGAATTCTCTGGTGCTGCACGAGGAGGACCTTAAGCCGAAAGGCATCCCCGCACTCTTTACATGCGAAGTGATGTGCTACAGGCGGGTTCTGAAGGCTCCCCCCGCTCCGCTCAGAGTCCCTGTTCTGTTTGGCCTCGGGGCTGGGCTCCCCGGCCCGCGGGGAGCTGGTGGATGCCATCTCCTGTGGCTGAGCGTCTTCACCCATCGTCGGCTGTTGGGTCACCAAGATGCCTTCTGAGATGCGAACCGCGAGACACTGCTCCTCTGCGGAGGAGGGAGGGAGGAGGTTACTTTCCTCTGTCGGGAATCGTATCCCTCCCGACACAGCTGCTGGACACGGCGCCCAGAGAGGCTGCGGGCAGGCTGGCTGGCGCCCATCCAACTAGAAGCAGGGACTACGGACGAGAGGCACAGAGAGGCCTCGTTGCTGCCCGCTCCCTACCACCAAAGTGGCCCTGAGGAGATCTCCCCCTTCTATGGGAGAGAAGCAGCCGCACCTCCTCCCCAAAGGCTCAGCTGCGTGTCCCCCCACAATTTTTTCATTTTTCACGTTTCTTTTTCACTCACCAGAAGGCTTCGCTCGATCTGCACTAAGGGACGGGGCAGACACCAGCAGCACGTGTCCTCACACCAGGTAGGATTCAAAACAGGAACTCCTGCTCACGGAAAAGGAAAAAGGGTTTTGCTGGCAGCCAGAGATGCCATCAGAACACAGCCAGAGTGGGGCAGGGCCTTCAAAGATGAAACCCTTTTAATCCACAAAGTCGAGCTTGGTTGTGCCCTCCGGCAGGTCAGTCATCCGTTCCAAATGCCTTCCCCAAGGGCTGGCTCCCTCCAGGGAAGGGAGGAGGCAGACCCCGGGCCCACCCGGATGCAGGGCCAGGTGGTCATCCAGAAGAGCCGATCCTCCCTTTCTCCGGGTTCACGTTCCTCAGCGCCTGCTCACTGAACTTCGCCCTGTGCTGCAACTCCCAAACCTGACCCACAGCAGGCTCCTGTCTTAGCAAACCCTCCCCACCTCACATGTGCGGCCCCTCTCAGGGCAGAGGGCCTTGCTGTGTCAACCTCTCCCTCAACAATAAACTATAATAAAATGGCCATGTAATTTTTGGGTAATCTGTGATTTTTTAACAAAGTTTCCTAAATGATAGTGGCCAGTTTGTTCTCATTTCTTTCCCAATAAAACACTGACAGGGCTTCTTTCCATGCCACTAGGAGTCGGGAGGGAGCCCTGCTACTTTGAAATGTTGACCAAAAAAGAAAAAAAGAGACGCTGAGGGTGGCAGACACTTCTGTGTTTTCTTACAGCCGATCCCCAGGGTGGGGGGTCTAAGCCCCCAGAAGGCAAAAGCTTGTGTAGGGCTACTCCAGGTGGCCCTAACCCCACACCCAGCTGTGTAGGACCGTGCAGCTGTGGGGAAGCTGGTGGAAGGGCTAGGGCCATCCTTACCCATGGAGGTCGCATTCCTGTAATATGCCAGTGTCCTCTGCTCGGCGTCCAGTCTCAGTCACTCCTTTTGTGATGTACTGTGCCACATCATCAAATGTCACTGAATCCTGAAAGAATTCCCAGGGATAAGTTGTCCTTCTATCCATTCTAGAATGAGGGTGGGGGGAGCACTAGTAATAGCAGCGATAAGAGGTGAGGGTCTGGAGTGGGTGTGCATCGCCAGCATGGAGATCTAAGCACAAGCCTCAAGAAGTCCTGGAAAGAGGGCGCCCGGGTGGCTCAGATGGTTAAGCGTCTGCCTTCAGCTCAGGTCATGATCCCAAGGTCCCGGGATCGAGTCCCGCATCGGGCTCCCTGCTCCTTGGGAGCCTGCTTCTCCCTTTGCTTCTCTCTCTCTCTCTCCCCCTCTGTCTCTCATGAGTAAAAAAAAAAAAAAAAAAAAAAAAAAAAAGAAGAAGTCCTGGAAAGAGAATCTGACCAGGCATCAGAAGACCTGGGCCATGGCCCTGGCCTCCCACTGTCTTCCCGAGGGACCTCAGTTCAATCACTTTCCTGGACCGAAATGCAGCTCCCCCACCAGCATCATGGGAATTACAACCCCAGCAGGTGTCCATTTCTTGGTAGACTCGGGAAGAAAGCAGAGGGAGGACAGGCCTAAGCTGGAGTTCAGGTCCCGTAGTGTGTCATGCTGGGAAAAGAGGCAGAGGTCACGGCCACGATCAGGGAGCAGTGACAGATTCCCAAGCCAGGCAGAGGAAAGCACAGCTCACCTGGGCCTCAAGTATCTCAAGAGGACCTGCCAGGACCGGGTTTCCTGGGGGTCCATCCTGGGGGAGGGCAAGACCCTGGGGTGGGGGCAGGCAGAGCTAAGGAAAGTGAAAAGAGCCATGAGTGACAGCAGCCCTGCCTTTGGGTCCCCGAGGACAAGATTAGTGATTTCCTCTTCCCTGGTATTAAATCTTACTCAGTCTTCTCTCGCACAGCAGCTGAGTGACAAGCCAGAGCACAGGTGTGCCTAAGAAAACATACCCCAAACACTGGGGGAAACAGACTGGCAAAGAATTCATACAGGCAGGCCGGAGGGAACCCAGACAAGACAAATGAATGCTGGCCCAGGAACAGCGCAGGGAACGCAGACGCGGATGGGGGGCCAGCAGTAGCGAGACTGGCTCTCTGAGACAGGCCGGCCACAGGCCTCCCAGCAGCCAGCCTCAAAGAGGTCAGTGCTCACACTGCATAGGAAGGAAGCGTCCCCAAAAGAATATCAGAAGAAATAACTAAGTGAGAAGTGAGAGGGCCTTCCAACTTTGTAAGGGCAACAAAAAAGATGGGGGGGGGCCACTGGAGCGAAGAGAGGCAACAAAAGAGCAGGATCCAGGTCTTGTTGGGCTGGAAGCAGGGCCTTTTAAAGGCCATGCCCCACCGAACTCAAGCAATTATCCAGGTGACAGTGAGACAGATGCAGACAAGACCATTTCTGTGAAACGTCTGACAAAACGAAAAGTTGGACAAAACAACTAGAAAGAGGAGCCTCAAAGAAAAGATCTTCAAACACCAAGTCGCTAAATAAAAGATCTGAACAATATGTACAATTTACCTTTTTCTTCCAGATTGCAAAATATGTGAAATGGTGTAATTATATTACCACAAATGTGTGTGCCTCAGAGGCCTCCCGTTTCAGTGAATTCAAAAGAAGCAGGAACACAGTTTCTGTTCTGATGTCAGGTCAATTCAATTTAATTCCTAACTAAACGAAAAGGAGGCATTTTCTACACTAGCTCAAGGAGTAGAAGACCCAGACACTCCAGAAAGACTTACATAAAATCAGATATTGAAAGGGATAGATGATAAACACTTCTACTTCTGGCCATGATATTGTAACAAAGAACAATGTCCTGCCATAAGGTGGCTCAGTCGTGAAGCGTCTGCCTTCGGCTCAGGTCATGGTCCTGGGGTCCTGGGACTGAGCCCCGCATCGGGCTCCCTGCTCGGCGGGGGAGTCTGCTTCTCCCTCTCCCGCTCCCCCTGCTTGTGTTCCCTCTCTCGCTGTGTCTCTCTCTCTGTCAAATAAATAAATAAAAATCTTAAAAAAAAAAAAACAAACTGGACAGGGCGCCTGGGTGGCTGAGTCGGTTAAGCGACTGCCTTCGGCTCAGGTCATGATCCCGGGGTCCCGGGATCGCGACCCACATCGGGCTCCCTGCTCGGCGGGGAGCCTGCTTCTCCCTCTGACCCTCCCCTCTCTCATGGGCTCTCTCTCTCTCTCTCTCTCACTCTCTCTCTCAAATAAATAAATGAAATCTTTAAAAAAAAAACTGGACAAAATAGATTTGAAACAAGTTTTCAGATAACTGGGCAGCAGGAAGTGCAGGACCGTCGCCCTGAGAGAAGAGAAACTGTCCTGGCTCCGCCTGGAGGCAGGGGAGGGGGACTCCAACGGAGCTTGGTGGCTTCATCAAGACCCAGACTAGCATCCAGGGCAGTTGATGCAGCTAGAAGTTGCAGAGCAGAGTTCCAGAAAGGAGGGAGCTATGCAGAAAAAAAGAGCTCCAAAAGATCAGCATAAGGCTCCCCTTGAGCCTTTCCTGACTCCCCAGCCACGCATACATAATAAAACTCCCAAAGACTAGGAAAAGAATGGCCAGGAAGCTTTAAGCTGAACAATTCCCAGGACACACATAGGTAGCGAGATGTTCAGGGTTCAAAAAACCAGAGTAAAGAGTCCTCAGTGATCACCTGGGCCATTCAGTAGAGACTCAGAGGGGCCACGCCTTAGTAGCAGGACTGACCGACTCCTGGGGCCACAGCCACCCCGAACCTGCTCTAGACAAGCTTACAAATAGGCCTCAATGTGATGAAGCTGGTCCACAAATAACTACCTCCCCAAAGGAAGTCCAACCCTTTTCAAAGCGAAATAACAAAATCTAGACACTCAACAATATGATCTCTATGACGTCCAACAGCCAAAATAAAATTACTGAAATGCCAAGAGGCAGGAAACTGTGACCCATGGCAAGGAAAATCAGGTCAACAGAAATACTCAAAAATGATTACTGGTAGAACTTACAGATAAGGATAACAGCCAGTTTAACTAGGTACAAGTATTGAAAGAAAAACAGAAACATAATGAAAAAAATGGACAATATAGACAAGATCCAAGTGGGGCTTCTGGAGGTGAAAACTATAACAGTTAAAATGAAAATTTCACTGGATGTGATTAACAGCAGATTAGACACTGGATTAGAAAACTTGAGGATAAAAAGAAGGATTAGATTTAAGCTGAACAACTCCCAGGATACACACAGGTAGGGAGATGTTCAGGGTCCAACCCCTCCCCCCCAAGAGATTAGAAAACTTGACGATATAGCAATAGAAACTAACCCAAATGGAGATCAAAATGAAAAAAAAAAAAGATATTTACAAAACAGTCTCAGTGACCTGGACATAACAGAAAATCACCTAACACACATGTAACTGGAATCTGAAAAGACGAAGAAAAGGGGGAGAGGATAAAAATATAGTTGAAGAAATAATGGTTGAAATTTTTCCCCCCAAATTTGATGAAAACTAGATCCAAGAAGCCCAGCCAACCCCCTACCAAGACTAAACAAACAACAAAACCAAAAAACCACATACATAAACCGAAACACGTCATAATAAAATTGCTGAAAACTAGTGATGAAGAGAAAATCTTAGAGCAGCGGGGGCGGGGGGGGGACATGTTATATACAGAAGTGCGAAGATAAGAACAACTATGGGCTTCTTATCAGAAAATGTGCAAAGCCAGCAAACAGCTGAATGACGTTTCTAAAGTGCTAATGGAAAAAACCCCGTCAACCTAGAATTCTATATTCAGGGAAAATACCCTTCAAAAATGAAGGCAAAATAAAAACTTTTTCAGACAAAAAGCTGAGAGAATTGGTCCCCAGCAGACCTGTACTATTAAAGAAAGTTCTTCAGGTGAAGGAAAATGATACCAGATGGAAACTTGGATCGACACAAAGGAATGAAGAAGACTAGGAATGTAAAAACACTTTTACCCCCTTTATTTTTAAATCTTTAAAAAATAACTGACCATTTAAAGCAAAAATAATAAGGTACTGTGGGGTTTATAACATGTAAGTAAAACATATGATTGTGTGTTTAAGGAAGCCCTCTGAGACTCTGATGCATGTTAAAAAGCCAGGAGTAGAGATAAAATACAATTCCAAAAAATAATCCAAAAGAGTAAAGAAACAAAGGAAAAAGAACAGAGAGAATAAACAGAAACAAATAGCAAGATGGCAAACTTAAATCCAAGCTCATGGATAATTAAGTCAAATGTAAATGGACTAAACACTCCAATCGAAAGGCACAGATTATTAGACTATATTAAAAACAATACTCAACTCTATGCTGTCTGTAAGAAACTTTAAATATAAAGACTTTAAATGTAAAGACATAGATAGGTGAAAAGTAAAAGGATGGAAAACAACATACCATAGGTCTAAATAATCCCAATGTCAAAAATAACAAAAGGAGGGCGCCTGGGTGGCTCTGTCATTAAGCGGCTGCCTTCGGCTCAGGTCATGATCCCAGGATCCTGGGATCGAGCCCCGCATCGGGCTCCCCGCTCCGTGGGAAGCCTGCTTCTCCTTCTCCCTCCCCCTGCTTGTGTTCCCTCTCTCGCTGTGTCTTTCTCTGTCAAATAAATAAATAAAATCTTTAAAAAAAAATAACAAAAGGAGAGGGGGAATGATGGATGTGGCTCAGAGCTCTGGAGACCTTACTGAAGAGTCCTAGAACTCAGAGCAGGAAGAAAAATGGAGAACTTAAACATAAAATCAACCAGTGGCAGAAAACAAGAAAAAAAAAAAAAGAAAAAGAAAAAAAAATGAAAAAAAAAAAAACCCAACAGGTGGCTAATACGGATGGCACATAGACTACAAAAATTCCAATCCTTCATAGAAAATGGAGACAGACAGCAACTGTTTACTAAAAAACCCAAAGAGAGTAGGGGAAGGGGAGAGAAGAGCTAAGTGTATATTTGCATTTCAGGAGAAAAAAGGAGTAAACGGAGTGACTTGTAGCTAAAATAAGCACACCTATACTGTAACGTGTGCCACCC